TGGAGACCGTTCCAAATTTTAGCTCCGCGGAACGCGAAAGAACGTTGGCCCGTAGCTAGTCTACATTTGGGCAGATTCAGATCCCCATTGAATCTGGTCGATCTAGTGTGGATTTGAGATCTATATATAAACTTCTGAGTGAGGTAATTAGGTGTTTGATTGTGAAGGCATTTATGTACCATTACACAATCATTGAATATTGAACTGTTTGCACAGTTCGATGGCCAAACCAAGATTTACATCCTTTTTTAGTGACTGAGAATTTAACGAAGCAATTCGTATGTTTTCGGTCTTAATTGGATCTTTGTTAGCGTTCACTGTAGTTGTAGAATGTTGTTCTTCTCGACTAAAATTTCCACACGTAGAACAGTCAAGTTCCATCGTAGTAAATGAAGATTCTTGCAGTGTAGAGCGTTTACCAGACGCAACAGACACTGAGTTCGTCATGTTKGGTTTACCCGCAACAGACTCGTTTAGAGAAATAGAAATTAAATTATTTTCATTTGCYTTCCTGTCCCGAGAGTTGTATGCAAATTCATAAGATGGTCGATGATGCATAACGGTTTCGATTCTGTTCTTGCGAATAGAATCTCTCTCCTTGACCCTTTTGCCAGCTCTTTTACCTCTATTTCCATGGTTAAAGTTGAAGATGATATTAGAGTCGCTATACTGTGGTTGAAAGTTACCATTCCAGAGACCAGGTCGAGCAAAATTGAAGCTTGTAAGGTCTGGCATTCAACAATGACGGCAATTCCAGGACGATTAGRCTTCAAATATGAGTTCTCGTAGATATAAAATGTCGAAAAAAATGTCCTAAGACTAATAAAAGTTCTTAAAATATCTACAAATTGGAAAAATGTGAAAAAAATCCTAAATCTATACTAAAAACTCAAAAATCTTGTAGAGCTATTGAAAAAAGCATGCGACCGTGAAGGCGCTTACATACAGATTGGCACAAATGAATGTACATTTTCTGTTAATGAACAGCAAAAGGTGTACAGCTACATTGTTTATGGTGTTTCATCTTCATTATAAATATTCATAATTTCGGCACAAAGTTAATCTCAAAATACAAACTTGGGTGAGCCTCATAAAAGGTCTTTATATTTAGTATTTTATAGAAATGCTCCTTCGAATCCAGAAACTTGAACCTCTGTTGTTTCAACGGATGACTTTGACGCCGAAATCTAAATCTTCATACAAAGGATTTGCCCATACATATTTCCCCGTTCTCCGAAACGTTTTGGAACTGTCTTCACATTTATTAAGCCTGAGAATTCTACTTCACTTGGTATATTACTTGTGTCGATATAAACTCAAGCTCTGAGAAATGAGCAACGGAATATAACCACCTGGGTTACCGAGAAAGAAATATACGTAACATGGAATTAAATTTTTAAAATACCTTTTGCAAGACTTGAGGACTTATGGATGAACCGAATTCTTCAAGGTCCTGTTTAAGTTTATTAAGTCCGATTTTGCCCAACAAATGGCAAAGTAGTTCTTTATTATTCAACGACAGCTTTCCTCTTCGTTCAAGCTCTAGAAATAAGTCGCCTGGCTTGGTAATTCTTTCACTAGTTCCGTCTGGTATGATTTCCTTGCAGGCAAAAAGTAAGACAGAAACTTGTTCGGGTGAAATTTCCGAAGAGATTTTTTCGAGCTTCTGCCTGAAAACTTTTTCCACTTCTTCGACTAGACGGGATTCATTATAGCTTGCCATCGGTGTAATGACTCAAGCCATATGGATATAAAAAAGTACGAAAAACTTCGATTTAGTTTAAGCCATATTTACAGCACTTTATATTAAAAATTGACAGAGATAAAGAAGCAGTTATGATTGTCGTCATAACAGTCACGCGATAACAAAATCACTTCCGTGTAAAGTTCTAGCATAGGTCGTCACGGAGTCTCACCGCTTTTGCCCTGGCCGGTTTCAATCGTTGTTCATCACTCTATCATACGTCGGCTTCGAGGTTTTTTCTCTGGTTCTCCTGTATTTCTTCTTCCGCAAAAAAGCACATAGAGTTCGCTAAGATCAGAGGAATTTACCCTTTATACCCTACTAGAATATTATTTTCGCCATTTTCCATACATTGGTTGACTGGTCAAACACAAAGCGCTCAAGCGAGGAGCCAAGGTCAGGGACGGCGGAACCGGGGGAAATGTTTTGGAGGGGCCTGGTCCCCCCACAAAATATTAGTTCACATGAAATATAAATGCATAGATTCGAGTTTTATTACGTCATTAAGTTATTGTTGTGAATTTTTGCAGTGCCCCCCAAAGATTTTCAGCTTCCGCCGCCCCTGAAGGTACTTTCAAAGGATTATTCAAWCAATGCATCCTCGACCAGTGAACTGATGTATAGAAAATGGTGAATTGACAATAGTGAATTGCGTACGGAAATAACATTTTTGTATATTAACATTTTATTCATCAATTTGCTTTTAATATTGAGAACTAGTATAAACTAAATTCCTGACGTACGACGAAACTCTTACGACGTATGTAGACATGAAATTTCACGTATGTACCGACACCTCTGCAAAGGTTGCGGCTATGTCGTTAAAATAAAGATTTATTTGTGTTTCACGACTTTCAACGTTGATGGTGGTGAACGGATATTTTCAGCCAAAATCTAAAATAAAAGCGACTGTTCCATGTACTCAATTCTGGCCAGGACCTTGAGATGTAGTTTGTGTAACTGTCATTGATTCATAGCTTTGTGGCAGGAAAAAAGTGTTAGGTGTGCATGACATCCCTCGAATCGTCTTCGTCAAAGTAGTACGCAACAGTTGCATAGTGGTGTCGACCCATAAGTGACGTAATGTATAGCCTAGCCTTATGTTATTTAGCAGTCCCTTTATGTTCTTATTATTCTAGTAGTACTGTTTATAGAAGAAAGGGCGACACGTTTTGTTAACAATGATATATTCATCATACGGCTGGACATTTGACAGAGATTGAGCGACCTGTTAAAACAATAATGATAATCAGTTCAGATTTATCTTACTGAGTTAATAGATCAATTACTACAATTCCCATAAACATGCGAACTCTGTGTCTCTCGGTTGCACGCTGAAATTTGGTTTTTCGCTGCCGCCAGTCAAAAACATAAAAGGTACCGACTGATTAGGTTTGATTGACGGCAGCAAAAACCCCCACCCCCACTAGATGAGCTGACATCTACAGCATTGATATTTGAGTTTGTAAGCAAAGGGTGCACTCCATCCTAAAACGAAAATCCTGGATGGTGCACCCCCTCCTAGAAAAAAACTGGATCCGCTCCTGGTGGGAATGACTAACCCCTACCTCGCTCAAGGACTCAACCATTCATTTTATTGACTCATGCACAGTTATTTATTTATCCCACTGATTCATTTTATTCTTTCACTTCACTTGTCCATCCACTCATTCGTTCAATTACCTCCTCCATTTTTTTCATGGCTCGAAGAAGGTTCCCGCCAACGATTTTCTTCGCATCGTCATCACTATATCCACGATCAATTAATTCTTCTATGAGATCAGGGTATTTAGACACATCCTCTAATCCTGTTGGTACCCTACGCCAAAAGAATTCGAATGCACGTATATTTACATTTCACCTTTATTTATCTTATTAATGAGTTATACATGGACCTAGGCGAAGATTATTGTTGAATAGAGTGTTTTTTTTCTTTTGCCCTATGTGATGTAATAATTTTTTTCCTCATCTCGATTAGCTTTCTAGTTATTCTGAGTAACAAATTTATCTTTTTTCAGTTAGACATATATATGTTGTAGAGGTTGAAAGCAATCCCTCTCTTCCTACGTACGTATAAAAATGGGTTCATGGCTTCGTTTTCGCACTTAAGACCGCATGTCATTTCCTTAAGCATTTTTTTTTTTCTAATAATGTTTGACAAGTTACATGATAAAAGGATTTGTTTTTTTTTGTTTTTTTTTATGGTTCGTAAAAAGCCAATACAAAACGATTGTATTATTGTTCCTTGTCATTCAACATGGCGGTCATCATACACCGAATCCAAATATGGCGATCAATTTGAATAACTATTGTTAGGACTGACTAGCCTCGTGTTCACGTGGAAACATAAAAGCGTTTTCACATGTAAGAGAGGCTAGTCAGTCCAGAACAATAGTTATTCAAATTGATCGCCATATTTGGATTCGGAGTATGTGATCACACACACAAAGCCTATAAGCCTGAAGCGAAATGACGTTTTACCCCCGACTCTATACCATAATAGTTTTTAAAATTCTTTCATATTAAAATTTTTGATTCCTTAGAGAATACAGGAACAATAGTCATAATTAAAGAACAAAAGCAGTGTGAAAAGGATATGGTCTAGAGACGGGGGTAAAACGTCATCTCGCTTCAGGCTTATTGCATGTAAAATTGCATGCAAGATTATTTTCCCCATGATGCCTACCTTGGTACACCATCGTAGTCGCCTCCTAAACCCACGTTATCGATTCCCGCCACTTTCTTAATGTGATCAATGTGATCTTAGAAAACGAAAAAAATCAATATGGAAATTATTGTGAGAAAAATCATTGCCACAGATAGCCCATTGCCACGAGATATTTATTGATTGACTTCTAATTAAGAGAGTATAAAAATAAGTTCACCTGCAACGTCACTAAGAGTAGCAGTTTTTTTGCATGTTACGAAATCGTTATAGAAGTTGACCATCACTACACCACCATTCTTGGGCTAAAAGGTAAAAAAAACTCTGATGTGGGATTGATAACAAGACACCCCCCACTCGCACCCCCCGGAGTAGAATGATTAAAGGCAGACGCTAGAGTGATTTTCATAAACCCGTGAAATATATGTTAGCGTAATAATTATTAATACAAACTAGTACGACTTATACCTATTAGACTTTAAACAACGAAGTAATAAAATACAGTCAATAAACTTCAACTGCAATACTTAGTTGTCTCACTAATAACCGCTATTACACATTAATATGCGTTAATAGAAGTTAATAGCTAAATTTTGTTTCACGGGTTTATGAAAATCATTCTATACCTTCCATGGTACTTGATAAACCACACAAGCTGCAGCATGAACAACATATGACACCTAATGAGACACCCTTGACACAACATGCACCTGTAAGTCCCTATACATACAATACCCATGGCAACCTATTCAACACTCATGTCACCATGCACCAGCATGACACCCAATATAACATACATGACACCAATACAGTACCCATACACCCATAAAACACTCATGCACTCCATTTTACATGACACCCCGTAAACCACCCATGACATCAATATACCACCCTTAAACATGCGCCAGCATGACACCCATGATAACATACATGACACCAATACACCACCCATACACCCATATAACACTCATGCACTCCATATTACATGACACCCCGTAAACCACCGATGACATCAATATACCACCCTTAAAACATGCGCCAGCATGACACCCATGATAACACACATACTACAAGTAAAAAAAGAAAACTATAATTATAACGGATAGGTTAAAAAAGAGATGGATTACCATTCTCTTCAGTACGTCATCTGGTACGTTTCTTGAGTTGTTGCACAAAGCAAAGGCGGACGAATGACTAAATATAACTGGAAATGAAACAAACGGGACAATCAATCTTTCCTTCTTTCCTTTCCTTTCCTTGCTCCCTGCTGCCTTCTTAATCTCAAACCTTTCTTCCGCATTTCGACTCCCCCCTCTTGCATGGTACAGCACTCTGACAAAATCGCTCTTGATTTCATTTGAATTCATTACTTTTGCCTTGGTTGGAGTTCCTGTGTAATACCAAATCTTACCTGGGGCTTTACTGACATCCAGTACGTCACGCATAGTCTTAGCAGAAACATGAGAAATATCTACGAACATCCCAAGTCGGTTCATTTCTTTAACAACAATCTGCAGGACGCAAAAGCAGCGAGTGATTCAGTCTAGCATCTCTAATTAGTAATTTGTTCTCCAGCCAGAATGGTCTATTGACTTATAAACCATGAGTGCAAGAGGACTAGTTGTTTCAGTTAAAAAAAGAAAAATCGCCAAATCGCATCTTTAATAATCATCTAAGCAGCAAAAACACCTTTATTTATTGTTTTGGTTTTTCAAAGCCGGCGACTTTTCACTACTAGTAGACTATAATTTATAGCCTAGTAGTAGCTCTTCCAATCAGAAAGCAGCGTTGATGAAAGACCACTCGTTGGATTTGACTAAATAGGGATAGCCAACCAACTCACCTTTCCAAACTCTGTCAGTCCGTTGTGTTCTGCCGTCTTAGGTACACAGGAGTCGGCCCTAGAAAAGTTACAAAGGTATAGTGTATGAGTGTAGTATATATTTTAGGACATGCTGGAGCACATGCAGTAAGAACATGAAATAAAAACAAAGTTGATGCTGATAAACAGTTGCTATCACTCAACCAGAACTTTATCACACAAAGACAAATACACAACAGACCATTTGTGTCTTATAGAGCATGCGCAGTGATGCAAGCTTACAAACCACGTGACTTACCATGGTGTATGGCAGTTGTGTGTCAATTTCATATAGCGTCCACCTAATTCATAGAGCATGCGCAGTGACGCAAACTTACAAATCACGTGACTTACCATGGTGTATGGCAGTTGTGTGTCAACGTCATATAGCGTCCACCTAATTCATAGAGCATGCGCAGTGACGCAAACTTACAAACCACGTGACTTACCATGGTGTATGGCAGTTGTGTGTCAACGTCATATAGCGACCACCTAATTCATAGAGCATGCGCAGTGTGTCCAAACTGCTGTCCATCGCGTGTCCTCCCTCGATGCCAACCAGAGATGCAATTTTTTTGTCTTCGAAAGCTTTACGAATATGTTGCTCTGTTGTAGCGAACACGAAATCGTTTGGGTACTTGACAGCCAGTCGTTTTATGACGTCAATTTGTTCGAGAAAAAGTCGAACTGAGTTTTTGTATTGATTGTTGCAGCTTACGTATGCTGCCCAAAACTGAAACAGGCCGGGGAAAAAAGTCGGAATGTGTTTGATGAATATATCAAAAAGTAAATTATTGACTAAATATGATGGAGCCAACTGACCGATCTGATTGATTGAAGGGTGGACAACTCACTATGAACGTAATGAATGAATGAACAAACAAACTAATGGACACAAATATAAGAAAGGAAGGAAGGAAGGAAGGAAGGAAGGAAGGAAGGAAGGAAGGAAGGAAGGAAGGAAGAAAGAAGTGTGCGATTGTTGAGGCTGTAGGTTCGTTCATACCTGAGCTCCAACTTTGCCTTTCTTCAGTCTAGGAATATCGGTATGAAAATCAGGGCTTCCAGTGTCTAACGTAAGATTAGCAAATCTGTTCGAGTACTTCTTTCTTATCTGCCATGGCAAGTCGTTGTGCCTAGTATAAACAAATCGTTACAAAGAGTGTCAACAAACGTAGCCCACCAAGATGCATTTCGTACGTGACTCGATTGCTTATAAAGTATCCCGAAACGACCAAAACATGTATAAACCTCTGGAATTGAAGAATACTTCTTGACCTGTTTTACCAAAACCTTAGAAAAATCACTCCGTTATCATTGATGCATCGAAACGTGAAGGGTAGCATGAGTGACATACGCTACTAACGCTTCGTCAAAATTGCGGACACCATATGTGAATTGAGATTGCAGACGATGTGTTGTTCTCTCCTAGTTATTGTTGTTCCTACCAGGGTTTTTCTCCGGGTCCTCCCTCTTAAAAATCAACATGTGTGAGTTAAATGTGAGGAGTCAAATTCTTTAGAAACATTTATGACTGGACAAAATCTTTCAAGGCGAACCACTCACGCGCATGTGGGATTCAAAGACAAGTCAAGTAGTCACGCGAGAACCTTGGTCACGCAAGAGCCTTGGTCCCGCAAGAGCCTTGGTCACGCAAGAGCCTTGTTTCCCCCACAGGAAACCCGGCTTAGAAATTCGAGCCATGTAACATGAGTGTTATTGACTGTATTCAGGGAGATGCCAGTATTCTCGTTTATGATACACACGATTACTGCGGTTTTCAATATTCTGTGAAATCTGTAGTTGTGAGTTGAGTTTTCGCTGCCGTCAATCAAAAATAATCAGGGCTAGTCGCTACCTTTTACATCCTTCATAATCAATTAACTATGTATCCTTGACTGGTCGCAGTGAAAAAGCAATTCCACAAGAAGCCTTTGAAATGTCGGTGTTTGTAGAGTATCAAAAACCCAGATATGCTAATTATCCCAAGAGATTAAGAGAGTCATAAACCGTGAAAACACCTCTATAAAACAAGCGCTCTCTGTGGGCCGAGAGCTAGGCTTCATCCAAAGAATTTTGATACTAACCTTCAAAAAGTGATTATTAAAATGATAAAGTGAGTTGATATTATAACTTACCCATCTATCAATGGAGTGTCTTCCAGCACTTCGATCGCTCGCTGTCGGTTTGTTTTCGGTTTGTCTTCGGATTTGCCCAGTAATAAAGCACACGGTACGGCAATGATGATTACTAGAACTACCAAAACAGCTCCACCGATGAGCAAGGTCTTGCGATTCATTGTTTGTGTTAACGGTTTTTGAGTAGACTTCTAGTGCGACGGCTTGTAGATCAGACGACAACGTTTTGAAACTCAAGAAAGTGAATAGTAATGACAAAGCACAGAACAGACAAACATCAACAAACCAATCAAATCACCACGGATGCTTGTAGGCGGAGCCCAAGGTCACTTAAAGAAGGGGGGTACAAGTACCTATAAAGCTGACTGTATCCACTGAATAGAACTAAAAAAAGTATTTCTTGCATCTTATCGATAACAGTAAAACTAGGGAAGCTTGCATACGTTGCACTTGCACCAAAAACTGAAAAAATTAAAACATGAAATCTTAAGTTATTTCGCCTCACTTATTCTATTCATCAGCATCATCGCTTCGCACAGTTGGCTATTTCTTCGTTTGCTTAGAATTTATACTTCTAAGTTTTGATATTCAAGTTGCCGTTTCAAAGCAATTGGCTAAGTATACTTGCTCTTTTTTTGAATAGAAATGTAATTGCTTAAGCTTCTCTGCCAGTTCTGACAAATTTTTCCGGGAAATTTTCATTCTTTAGTTATACATCTGCGCTCTAACGAAGCCAGCACCCCCCTAAGTATATTCTACTGACTGACAGGCATTGAATCACAGCTAACCAAACACTGAATTTGTAAGTAAATAACAACGAAGGATTTAGCTGGAAGTCCAACGAGGCCGCGTTCTAATTCAAGCGAGTCAAAACCGACTAGAAAATCGAACCACGAACCTGTTGCTGAGATGTATACTAGTGTATTACTTACAGTTTTGCTGGCGTTAGCCGTGCAGGGTATTCCGAAGCATCGTGATCGAAGAGCGGTAGACTACAGGGCCCGGGCAGTCGAGATCATGAAACAGAGCCCACTCATAGATGGGTGAGTTTGTTTACTTTTGTATCTTATACAACATTACAAGTCATATGAACTGAACTTGGTCTAGATTTATAATATCTTCAAGATATATACAGTTTATCCTCGAAAGGCGAAATGAAATTAGATATTTTTTTTAAAAGAGTGTAAGTTAATTTATTCAGCCCCATTGTCTGTTTTGATTTGATAGTTGAATAATAATTAATTTGCCGGTAAGTGGAGTGCTTGGGTAGAAAAAGCCACGCCGAGGGTTGTCTGTAGTTTCATCTTGCCTGCTCGTAGGTCAAGCAGCAGCCTAAAGAATCGCTAACAAGTCAAAAATTCCGTGATTTTATTAAACATAACTACATTGACACATTGAGCGGTAATTATATATATTATGTGTTCATAGCGAAGAGAGGCGTTTGCTAGCTTAGTGTCGCCACGCAACGCTTCCTATAGTCTATTCATCCAGTAAAGTATACGTTTAGATATTCTGTTGTTGTTCCTTGCAAAACAAGTTTGAGTTGAATGGTGTCTGTGAAGACCTACTTCCCACCCCATGACGTCTTGCCCTTGGGGCACTTAATAGAATCAATGATGTAATAATGAAATAAAGCTCTCCTTTCCTAAGCATGTCCAAGGTCTTAGAATAAAGAGTATTCAGTTGCCTTTATCAGAATAAAAGAACAAAAGATGTGGCCACCATGTTTGTGGATAATTCCCGCAAATAAAAAACCCAACAAACAAACAAAACAAAACAAAAATAAAATACATACAAAGTTTTCAAATGTTATATGGATTTTGAATTCCTTGCTATGGCATTTCAACGGCAAAAGGGTCACGCTTATAGCTAAAGCTACGCTTTAAATAATCGGTGATTGGCTTCGGTAAAGCATGTTTTTAGTCTCTTAGGTTATAGAAGATACAGTTCAAGAATTTTGTTTACATCAACTCGCATCCAAACGGTAAAAGAGAGTTGTAGCCGCGCGCTCCTAGCGGTTCCTCTCACTGAAGCGAACACAACGGTAGATAAATACTTCCCAGCAATCCAATGATAAGACTGAAAATTTAAAAACAAGCACAACATAACGAAAAAATTAAAAGAAATATATGAAATAACGTATTGGAAACGTTAATTTAAGTTTTGAATTATCTTACAAATTTACTGTCGGTCTGTCATCTACAGCATCAAATATCATCTTATTAGTGGTTTGCGCACGGCATCTCAGACAGTCAGCGACGCGTATTCAGTGATATGGTGCGCGTGCGGCTCACACCGAAATTTTGCCTACAAGCTTTAAACAGGTTTTAATTCACTAAACGAAACCTGAGGTTCTGATTACTGATGATTTTTTAACGGGTTCCTGAAAAACCCAGACTTTATTTCATCTATAATGGTTGTAATCTGTCACACCAGAGGAATTAAATGTCTTGCGGCTTTTCCGTTCCATACTTGAACCGTATTTAACGACGAGATTACTGGGACTCCTTAGCCAGAGGCTAAGTAAACCTAAGTTGCTTAAGTAAACGACGCACTCCAGCCTCACTATCACTACATTTCAACTCTCATCTCACATATTGACTTTTACAGAGGGAGGAAAACTGCAGGACACGGAGAAAAAACCGTCGTGGTAAGGGAGGGCTAGAAAACACCAACAAACGAAACTCTATTCACATGTGGCGTCGACCATAGGAATGGCCCATTAATTCCCTAGGAAAAAGCGACCCGACCTTTAGGACTCACACTGGTGAAATGCTACCCGCTACAAATAGACAAATTTAGACCACACATGTTTTTACAGGCTTATATTATCCCTAGAGAATAAAAGTACAGGAATGGTGGTCTTGTTGACCGATAAAGAGGGGAAAAATACAACAAATGACAACAAATCGTCTGGAATTAGGAGAACTACTAAAATTTTTATGAAAATCAAAATGTTTTAAAAATTTAGATATGTTTCGACTTAACATTATCTTTAGTTTTGTTTTTCGTTTTACTACGTCATCGGGTTGTGAGTCCATGAGCAACACCACAGGAAGCCCAGTATTTGCAACTTTCACAATTTCTATCGGTCTCGGATATACCATTTCCAATATATTGTTCTAATGCATAGTAAGTTCCTATTTTTTTCTCCTATTACAAACATATCTTATAGCAGTAGCCACATGCGCTTTTTGAGCGCGTATTTTTTAAAAAGCCGTTTTCATCTCATTCCTGCAGACATAATGACATGCCGTATCAAATCCGCAAGCAATACACCAACAGACTGGGAAACCTAAAGCTAAACCATACCACTTGGCAAACAGACATCACTAGACTCAGGTCTGGTCATGTGGGAGCACAGGTAGGCTGTATCGGTTTATCATTGTTTTCAAAGCCACTCTATCATGTCTGGGTGGGTGGCAATACTATTGATAATATTACACATGGCAATACTATCAACTACTAATATTCTATGCAAAATCAAGGCTAACCCTGAGCAACAGAGAACTCTAAACTGGAAATTGAGGTTCGCCAAGAGCAAGAGAGAATCAAGAACTGGATTATTAGCTAAAGTTTAATTATATTAGGAATTTAAAACGCGACAATTTTCACCGAGTCATTTACTCGGTGTGCGCCTATATTTTGCGAATCTCTCTCTTTCATCTGTTCATATATTTTCAGTTCTGGGCTGCATTTTCATTTTGTGCAAACCAGCTAAAAAATGCAGTCCTGCTCGGCTTGGAGCAAGTGTCTATTATCAAGCGCTTTGTAAACAAGTATCCAGATACTTTCAAGTTTGTCACTACGGCACAAGAAATAAAAGATGCCTTCAAAGATGGCAAAATCGCGTCTCTGATTGGTCTAGAGGGAGGTCACATGATTGACTCAAGCCTAGGAACACTGAGAATGTTTTATGATCTTGGAGTTCGATACATGACCTTGACGCACAATTGCCATACACCATGGTAAGTCACGTGATGCTTAATTGTACCAAACTGCGCATGCTCTAGGAGTTGGTTCTCACAACCGTGGTACACCATGGTAAGTCACGTGACGCTTAATGTACCAAACTGCGCATGCTTTATGAGTTGTTGCTCACAACGGTACACCATGGTAAGTCACGTGATGCATATGTGTACCACACTCTGCGTGTACAAAGAGTAAGATACGCGCTATTGAAGCTTCTTTCTATTCATTTGGCACAGGGCAAGTTCCAGCTCCAAACCAGCTAAGACTCTACATGATGGCCTTGATGACTTTGGAAAGGTAAACACCTGTATCACGTGATTCCCCCTGCTTCATTGTCTCAAGGGTTTTCGATTTTATTCCGCATGCGCGCGCTCTCAATTGAATGTCTGATCGATGTAAAACTTGGTACGCTCACTAGTCGATCAGTGCGGTTTTTGGAACAAGTAAATTGAAATTGGCACGGCTAGCTCCCAGATTGAATGGGAATTTAGCGTGATAGGTTTTGCGGAGGATAAGAAATTTTTGAAAAAATTCAAATCGAGGGAGACACCTAAAAATCTCACATGTGATGTCGAGTCCAAGAATCGAACCCAAAACAGGTTCCAGTGAGAGGCGAGTGTACTACCGCTGTACCACCCGGCCATGATTCCCCATGAAGAATGACTCTACTGCCTGGGCTGAAGGCTAAATCAGTAGACCCTTTTCGAGTTCCAATTTACTGCTGTGTTTCTTGATTATTACAGACTCATTTGCTTAAGCTAAGCCTCAAATCAGTGTCTAATTACTCGCAAGTACCAACGGTAAAGTAAAGAATGCACAAGTTCAACAATACGAACACTTTGAAACTTGACGGACCTTGACTGGAACAAGTGAATATTCTGCACAAAATCGAGGCTAAGCCTGAGCAAATGAGTCTGTAATCAAGAAACAAAGTGGTCATTTGGAACTCGAAAAAGGTCTATTCATTTTTTGTGTTCCTTGTGAAAGGAAAAAAAACCCTTGAATCCCCTAGGACCTGGGTCTTCATGTAAACAGACTCTAATTGATGTAAGGTTGATCATGCACGTCTTCTGGTCCTGATATTTTGTTGATGATCTTTTAATTTGTTTTGCAGATGGTAGTAAAAGAGATGAACCGACTAGGAATGCTCGTTGATTTGTCTCATGTGTCTCACAAAACAATGAATGACTCACTGGATACAGTTAAGGCGCCAGGTAATGCGGTAATATCCATAATACACCTGGCGTGATTTACTGACTGGTGACGTCATTTACTACCTCTATCAACATGCTTCGCGTGTTTTCTTTCTCTGCATTCAAATTTGTATTCCCTCATAAGGATGGTGTGACCCGAATCCGCCATTTTTTTTTACATTCTCGCATAGCTAAAATCCTGTAGAATGCCAGCCACAATGGCCGATTTGATCACGTGACCTCTTAGTGCAAGTCGCCTATTGGTGCCAATTAACTGAACAAAAAAAAGTGTGAAAGGGTTTCTGGTAGTGGTAGTAAATAACGCTATAATGCCAGTGACCTATTATTACTTGGTTGAAGAGTTCGGCTGAACGATCTACCCATGACGTAGGGACGTGCACTAGGGGGCGAGTGGCCATCATGCCCTTTCTAAAATTCATTAGTTACTAGTGGGATATGATAATAGACTCAGACTGCACTCAGGCAGTGTCTTGTGTTTTATATATGTCCTTTCCAGTTATTTTCAGCCATTCGTCTGCCTACGCTCTATGCAAACACCCCAGAAACGTACCGGATGACGTACTAAGAAGAATGGTAAGAAAAAATATAAATCCTTGTACAACTAGGAAGCTATATTTTCTGTCTTCCCTTAAAGCCAATACTAAGAAAATCTAGTTTTACAAATTCTACGACGGCGATGTCAACCGGAAGTGTAAACATCTTTACTTTGGGGCTTCGCGTCTTCAATGTCTGTCTTCCCTGTGGATGAATTGACTTTACTGACAATGTTTTCAATGAAATCGCCAATGAACAGTACCACAAAGAGAAATTATTTACACTTCCGGTTGAAGTCGCCGTCGTAGATTTTGCAGGAGAGGGGAGGGGAGGGAAGGGAGGTACATGGGTGGACTGATGTGTCACTCTATTTGGGTACCATAAGCAAAAGCAAAAAAATGTTATTCAAATAACGGAACGTTTTTGTCATAAGCCATCACTATATCGATTGTGTTTGTTTGTTTGTTTGTGTTCAGCCTCAAAATGGTGGTCTAGTGATGGTTAATTTCTATTCAGCCTTCATTGTATATAACGGAAGTCGAAACGCTACCATTCAAGATGTCGTTGGTAAGTAAAAACTAAATATGCTTGGAGCTAGTGTGATGCAAGCCTGACTACGTGACGAGGTAAAAATGTTAGCATTATTGTAATAAAAGCAATGGTCAATGCCTAGTTGTGTATATATCCAGTTCTGGATGCACGCGGGAGGCTGCTAAGCACTAAAGAAGCGTAAGAGTTGCACGAGGCGTAGCCGTTAACTAATAAGAGTATTGAGCAACGTGTAGCTGCAAATGGCTAAAACACCATTTTATCATTTAGAAAATATTAGTCGCATAAGAAAATATAAGTCTTCACACTGCTGGGGGTCTGAAGCTAGCGTGACTACGTGACGGAAGTAGAAATGTTACAATTATGTATGGTGGGGTTTTATGCCAGCTGACTACGTGACGGAAGTAGAGATGTTACAATTATGTATGGTGGGGTTTTATGCCAGCTGACTACGTGACGGAACTAGAAATGTTACCATTATATATGATGGGGTTTTATGCCAGCKGACTACGTGACGGAAGTAGAGATGTTACCGTCATATATGACATGCAACATGCAACGAAAACCTTCACCGACCTTTTTTGGAATTGATGGTTTTCACGGCGGCCATGTTGGAGGAACTTAACAAAAGAATTATCAATGAATTCTTTTGTTATATCCTCCAACATGGCCGCCGTGTCTTTTGTCATTTAATTCTCTTGGGAATGGTTGAAAACCATCAATATCTGTATATCGATGAAGTTAAAACTTCTTCCATTCTTAACTTCAGCTGTAGGAATTAATAGACTAAGGCAAGTTACAGTTATTCAACTGCATGTTTTTTTTTTACTCTTCCATCAGAACACATCGATTACATCAAGAATGTGTCTGGTATCGATCACGTGGGCATCGGAGCTGACTATGATGGAGTTACTGAGTAAGTTTACAAAGTCATAGGGCGAAAGAATTCAATAGGACGTGTCATTCTCATTGGAATAAGATTCTTTGTTTAAGCTGTATCCATTGCGTCTTCTCATGCGCAACCGTTAAACAAAGCAATGATACTCTAGGGAATGGCACGTGGTCTAAAATGGCAAGCTTAAAGGTCTAATTGGGGTGTTGGGAAAAGCAGTTCTATAAAGAATTTTTTTACTTTTTTCTTCATGACATAATTGTTGTCCAAAGGTCTAATTTCTTCAAGTGAACACACAACTTAAAAGCTCAATTAGATTTGATCCTGCTCTATTTCCACAGGCTTCCCATAGGACTAGAGGATGTTTCCAAGTATCCAGATTTGATAGCCTTGCTCCTCAAAAAAGGCTACACGGAATCAGACATCAAGAAGATTTTAGGGGAGAATCTCATTCGTGTGATGGAGAAAGCTGAAAAGGTACGTGAGTCTATTTCCCCTCTCTTTTTTCTACTTCGGATACTTGAATATGTAAACACTCAAGTTTTAACTCTAGGGAACGCTTTTAAGTGTTAAAAGTCTGATAACCCTTCTTACAATATTCTCATTTTTTCATGGGGTCAGCTGTTGACTATGACCCCAAACATTTCATAGAGTGTGGCTTCTTGAAGTTATAAAGGCTTTTTCATGGCATTTTCTATAAGCTTCTATAAATGACTGTGACTTTTGAGGAGTAATCATTTAATATGCAGAACATTACTGGAACAGCCGGATAAATTGAATTTGAAATACAGTATTGTTTTACCCATTGCTCTTATAGAAATGATTGCAAGTTAGTTTTCCCATAGTATAGCAATGTTTCGAATTACAAGGAACAACAAATAAAAATAAATGGTTCCTTATACCTCCTCATTTAAATAAGAAAGAAAATTCGCAAGGCATTTTGGAAGTGGTAGGAAAATAATGGCGCCATCATGCAAACGTCCTATTCCGCGAGTTTAGCAATATTATTTCTTGTCAGTTAACATTTCTATTAACACTATTATCTATATGTTCGAAAAACCCAATAATATCTATATCGGGCCGAAAAACCCACCTAATGTGTCCTTGAAGTCTCATATGAGACTTGGTAGCTCAGTAGTTAGAGCATGGCACGTACCGGGGAATCGGACGGCACGGGTACGGTTACTGGGCACGGGTTCAAATCCCGTTCAAGACTCAGAATTGTTTCTGAGTCTTTCAATTTTCAGCTGCATAAGTTGTTTCATATACTGCGAGGATCAGCTCAATTTGATACTAATATCTATTTTAACTGTGTATGATAATCACTCTAGCCATCACTTGCATCAAAACGCATGATTTGCAATACCTGTATTCCACTTCCATTGATCTATTTCTCTGACTAACATCTAACACCTAACACCTTAACTCTTTATGTGTTTGTACAGGTAGCACGAGACATGTCAAAGGACACTCCCTATGACGACTTCCGTTTCTTTGAAAATGTGACCTGTCGTCCTCATTTTGGCGGGGGCGTTGAGTCTTACTCTAGTGACGCTGGCAGAAACATAAGGGTCTCTCCCATTAACCTCTCTTAAAAATACCAGGAGAAAAGATCTGAAGACTGCTAACCTGATATACTAATACAGCATTCGCGTGTCAATATTTGGTAACCTTACGTCACCTGGAAGGTCTGGAAGTGAACATAGAGTCCTTCTTGATTATTCTCCCGTCAAAACCCTTAAAGTGTCGAAAATGTGAATCAAAACTTGAAGATAGTATAGCGATGACACTTGAAATTGTCCGTCATCTTTGAATTTAGCTTGCCCAAAACGTTTAAAATCACCTTATATCGTTTCATTTAGTATCTAGATCTCTTTCCGTTTTTTGTGTCTGGACCCGGTTGTACGAAGCCTGGATAGCGCTATCTATCGGATAAATCCTTATCCAGTGGATAAATTTATTGGATAACAGCATCGACTTATCCACTGGATAAGGATTTATCCGCCGGATAGCGCTATCCAGGCTACGTACAACCGGGCCATGGGCCTAGTTGCATAAAGCTCTCTTAAGATAAAAAAGCTTAAAAACACTCGTAAGTATTGTCTTAGGACAATGGCCTATTGTTTTGGAACAATACTTACGGATGCTCTTATCCTAAGAGAGTTTTATGCAACCGGGCCCTGGCCTTCAAATGTGCTGTAATGTGAATCCAAAGCAATGTATTTCTGATCATTAATGCGTCCTATCGTGATTCTAGTAATAAAATTGAACTAACATCAGTGATACTGGCTCGTTGTCTAAAAACTAACTTTACTAACACTGTATTTCTTACTTTGATAACATGCATACTGAATGATAATATCCCCCGCCCCAAATTCATCAATTCAGTCATTTTGAGACAGTCTCGCTCAGAGAAAGCTGAATAGTCTTTTTTGCGTTTCAAACCACTTATTACGCCCTTGAATATCCTTCCTTCCTTCATTTCGTGAAGAATTATACCGAGAAACAGGCTTCTTTGCCACATGGCTGCTTCACGTGATCGTTGTCTGTCAAGTAAAGTACCAATTAGAAAGCAAATTTTTTCTAAAACGAATAATTTGTCTGGGTTTTTACAGGTGGCACAAAGCATGAAAGACGAGCCCGCGTACGACGATTACCGATTCTTTGCAAACATAACATGCCGTCCAAACTACGGAGGTGGCTATGGCGCCTATGTTCCTCATTACAAGAGATACGTCAAAGTTTCCCCACTCAACATGTAAAAAAAGTCGTGCATTTGATAAGACTATTAAAGGGGCACTTGAATGAAAATCAATAATAACTGGAAATGACTTGAAACTTGTTTAAACTTATCTATATGGCCCAGATAGTAGCCAAGCGACATGTTTCCTTCACAGTCAAAAGTGGCGGGAAATAATTATCAATTTCATTCAGCATCTAAATTGTGAGTAAATGACGTCATCTACTCAACCCTAATGTTCTTTTCGCTTCTAACCCAAAATATCTCAACAGCAAGTGGCTCCCAGGCTAAAATTTTCACTAATCAGATTTCCATAATTATAATTGATTCATATTATCCTCATATACTTCAATTATTCGGACTTTCAAAAATTGGGGCGTTTTCATCCAAGTGCCCCTTTAATGATACCCTTGAAAAATAAAGAGCTTGTAAGACAGTGTGACGTCAATGGTAAAATGACATCCTGGAAATATGTCCCCCTATATAATCCCACAAAGCACTATAATGCCAACTAGACCCAGTTTTTTCTCAACCTCGGAATGGCTAATTTTGGTGTTTAATCTGAGTCTATTTTCCTTTGTCATTAACTGAGGGGGGAGGGATCGAAAGAGTAGAGACTCTTCTCGCAAGGAAAAGCTTACTAGCCCTTATGAAAAAAAGTTCAAAGTACCAGCTTACTACACTCAGTTTTTTTTCTCCAATAATTATAAACTTATCTTGTTTCCAATTGACATATATATATGTTGGGGCAGATCCACACCTCAGAGTGTGCAGGCCTCAGGAAATAATCACATGACTGTTACTGGATTGCAAAAAAAATTAGACTTCCTTTATTTAAATACATTTTACTGGATGGCTATTGTCATATCCCAAACCTTTTTCAAAATATTTTTTTCCCTTACAAGATGCTTTTGATTTCAAGATAAGTCATCCAGCAAAGCCTTCCCCAAGGGACCTTTGGCTGAATAATGATTCCTTAGCAGTGATATATCAGTAGGTGACTGTTTGTTGCAAATTTCTTATTTCTTATGCTGCACAATTATAGTACTTTATGTACAATAAATGATTAAAAAAAAGAAATAATCATAGTCAGCTATACAAGGGTTAATTATAGATTATTCTTTACACTCTAAAAATAACTCTGACATAGCTTTCCGATATAAACAAGATACCCATCATTGGCTACTTCAAGTATAGTGAAGACAATGCTAGTTTTAGATATTCCTTATCCATAAAACTTTACATTCTCTCCAAGTCCTCACTAGATCGCAAGTGTCCATGTCACAGATAATAGTATATTTACTTATTTTATTTAATGTGCATCCTCAAGGGAAGTGCCTAGGATGGGAATTAGAGTCCCGTTCATGCTCTCCCTATTGGTCTTTCTCATTTATTTTTCTAATTAGGTATACATGTACCTTAGTTGTAGCTTTCACCCAATAAAGTTGTAAAAAAAAAATATATATATATATATATTAAAAAAAACTTGCAGCATTGGATACGAAGGCCTGACGAAATGTTGTTGCTGCCTGGTGCTCTAGAACTGCCTAATTTTATGAGCACACACAAAAGAAAGAAACTATCTTACAATATTTCAAAGCCCAAGTTAAGGGCACAGCTAACTCACAGATGAAAGTGAAGCTTAGCTCTTTAACGTTTTACAGAGGTAGTAAAACTGCCAGAGAACCTTGTGAAAATCCCTTGAAGTGAGGAAGAGACCTAACAAACTCTACTCAAGTAATTATTGATCGTGACGACAAGTCCAGGAATCATTTTAGAGACCCCTGAGGTGCAGGCTGTGAGAGGCGAGAGGCAAAGGCACTACCTACTACACCAACCTTGATTCCCAAGAGATAATAGTTCACTGATTTTTAGATATTCATTTTTATTTCTTGTATCTATTTACAAGAGTGTCGACTGCTAAAATAAAGAACATTCATAATCTTACAAATACAGCACATTTTTTGATCTGAAGTGAGAAATATTTAGATAAAATACATTACAATGTTTGAAAATTTATCCAGTACATGAAGAGGGCTTGGACCAAAAATGATTTTCACCTTGAAATAATTTTTTTAAATTCTTAAATACAAAAGCAGTCATGAAATGAGGAAATCAAAATCTAATAGGATGTTTTAAAAAATACATGAATATAGTTTTGTGATAAGCTTGAAATAGGAGATTTTCTTTCTAAAAGTAGTTTTGAGGTTGTGTTTGTTTGTGTAAACTTGTGGCATAGCAAATATCCCTCCCCACCCCTCATGAAATTTATTTCCCTCCCCCCTAGTAAGACGTTTTCTTATAGAGTCTGTTATTACTGAAAAAAAGAAAAGAGAAATATATGAATATGTGGATCATATATGAGAAACTCTGAGTTCAAGAATAGCATCAAAGATATGTGTTTTTCCCTTACCTTTGCTTTGTTTTGGACCGGTAAGTATAATTTGAACTCTGCTGGAAGTTCATCTTCTGAGTAAAGTCTGTCAGAGAAGTAGACTCTACGAATTCTGCAGTTTGCATGAATCTGTGGAGTGATCAAAGTAAGATATATAAGGCAAATCAGGTAAGTAATCGAGATTTTAAAAGGGAGGCCTAAGCATATATTGATAAAATAATACATAAATGTTGTAAGGTATTACAATTATGACCAAGTAGCCACTTGAAGCCTCAGAAGAAGCCCTGGATATGCCAAATTATAATGTTATTTCAAACTAAGTTCATTTAAGAGCCTTAAAAGAAGGGTTTTGTAGTGGAATTTCTTCTAGAAACTTTCATAAAGAATTATTAAGGGCCAAACAAGGGTATACACAAAAATGCTTGGCAACTGCTAAGAAGTATTCAATTCTCGGATTTAGAGCTGTTTGAAAACAATAGATAATTACTATCCAAGGGATCAAAGCTTTGGAAAAGGATTGCTTAGACAATACCCTCCAATGTTTACAAGGTTCCTGCCAACCACCTTCCTAGCTACTAATACCCTCTGCTAACCTGTACTCGAAGTGTTTCGATGTAGTTCGTCCCGTATGCTCGGCGAGTGAAATCTGACAGGTTAAACTAAATGAAAAAACAATAAAAGTTAATAAAGGCACGAATCAAAATTGATAATAAGTAGTTATGATTGCAAGGTACGTTTATTTATAATTCGCTTAATTTATTAATGGTTGGTAAGAAAGCAGAAAATTTACAAAAAAATATGTACATCGCAAGGATAATATTCAAAAATTATTGAAAAAATTATTATGCTGATATATCAAGAAAAGACTTTTAGTGTCTGTCAATAGGTTTGGTGAAATTTTTCGATTGTTACTAAGCGATAACAAGCCGCAAACAAGACTTGATTGATATCGATATGCTTAGACGCTTCACAAAAAATAAATAAAGGAAAAAAATAATAAAAGATATTATTTCTATTACCTGAATTTGATTCCATCCATCGTCTAGTCTCATCGGCATAGTACAAATAAATGGTTTTACACGGGTGGTTGACTGATAGTTAGACGCGCGAAATCTTCGTTTAACGTTCTTGTCGTCCAGGACCTGAAGTGTCAACAAAACCCTTTAGTTCCTGTCAACCAGTGCTAGTTGTACTCAACAAACACCAAAAACCTGGATAAACGTTGAAGGGATAGATAAATACGAAATAAAATGCCTTGCTTAGACTTACCGTTACTTCGAACGTGAAATATTTTTTCAAATTTTTGATAATCATGACCAGAAATGGTAGCTTGATTCCCAGGGTCTTTTTCGGTTCTTGTGGACACACTATGAAAGTTGTACTAGAAAAGGAAAGAAATAAAATACACCCGTTAAAACCCCTTCTTGATGATATTAAGATAGGTTATCGCGTAAATGACGCTTTAATTTAAATTTTCCTGCATTAACTTAGAGATTTTTTTCCATTCATAGTAAGTCAGAGTGTGGTCTAGTGTGCACGCGTTTTCAAATAATACTCACCTAACGTTTGTCCCAACAATCTCCAAAACCAAAGACTGGATATCATTATCTGTTATTCTCTTGATATGACCATTCCTGACCTACAGAAAAAGCCAAAACAAGATATTTTAGTTCCATCTTCATCCTCATCCAACATGAACAATGAAAGAGTAAACTTCATAAAACTCTAACCTTCTTCTCCCAAATTTGTAGCGGTTTGCTGCCGATACTGTACAATATAGACAAAAAACCCGACTGAAACGTGTTCTTGAACATCTTAATTTGTGTTTTTTAGTAGAAATTCAGGCTATAGGTTTAAATAAACCCTTTTAGACTACTGTATTGGTAGCTTGTTGTATACTGAGTGGAAAACAGTGAGAGATGTGTCGCTAGGCGCCTGCTACTCGTGTTGACCATGCGCACCACACTGTTACCATGACTACCACATATATACAACCTCGACCTCATGGGATATTACCGTGAATCACCGCTGACCATGCATAAAATCAAACTTGATTACTTACTCGAAATAGTTTTAATATAAATACCTTTATTTTATTTTACTTTACATTTTATTTTTAACCTCCGATTTGGATATTTTTCCTAATTGTTTTGGTGTGACTCTAAGATTCTGTTTTACATAAACTCGGATTAATTTTTTCTGTAGTTTTTATCATTGTTTGCTCTTGAATCAAATGAATACGTAATTCTTATAAATTTGGCTGCTACTTTTACCCCTCCTTTGGCTAATGTATGTTTTTGCAGCTTTTATTTATGGAAAAAGAATGTAAAAATGGTGTATCCTAGATTTTTTCCACCTCAGGGCGAACCAAAGATTTTACCTCGGCCGATAAATTCACTAGTATTATTATAAAAATGATTTTATCGAAGTTAAAAAAGATATGGACTTGGAGAAATCCCCTAGCTGCACACTGAGAAAAATCGCTAAGACTAAGCTTCCCGTGTGACCTTATAGCCAAGTGTGAAAAAAGACGCTGCGAGTGTTTCATTGGTTTTTATCACAATTCAAGGTAAGAATTTTAGGGGCGGATCCAGGATTTTGTTCGGGGGGGGGGGGGG